GATTCTGTTCATTTCAAGCCGACTGACGTTGCAGCACCCACTTATACACACAGCCATTTTTAACACAGGAACGAGTGCGTTTGGATTGTACACTTCCATATCTGTGCAGATATCTGTGCAGGAGCCATCAAATTGGAGATCTATGAGCCTTAGCTCAAGCAATCCCTAAAGGAACCCTAGTTAAGAATTGCTGTCTTAGACAATGGTTTGTAGCAGTATAAGGAAACAAACACTGGGAAAAAAATTCTGATTAAAAATATGAGTGATTTCTTGGATTATAGAGAATAAAAACTCAAATACTACAAGTGCTCTAACACATTCCAGAAGCAAAAAAAACTTGCTTTCTTTTTAGTTTAAGAAAGAGTTAAGAGGAAATAGAATGCCTGAAGGTTTTATGGGCAAAGTTCACAATGCCAGGTTCCTGCAGACCCTCAGTCCAACTGTCTACTCGTACCTCCTATATAGGCACACAGTTACTGAAAAGCAGGAATAATCAATGAATTACAAGCTCACCAGCACCCTCCTAGCTCATTGAGAACTACAAACTGTTTTCCGTGGTGCCAGATGGAATTTATGCGGGATTTCCCACACACCTGCGCTCTTTTTTAAATTGTGACAGTGGGTGTTGGGAAGAGGAGCCCCAACCCACTGTCACAATGAAGAATCAGGAGTGAGGGGGAGCGAGGCTGCTGGTTTAGTAACATGTTAAATGTTACACCCTGAATACAGGTGTAACATATTACTAAAGGCAAATGTATTCTTTTATCGCTGTTTGTATCCCCCATTAGGGAGATACACCTCTCTTTTAATCCAGCTGAGTGTTATCACCAAAAGTAAAGGAACATAACAAATATTTTTGTTTATCGTCAGAACAGAGTCGAGGGGAAAATATGTTTTTCCTTTGGTTATGCTTTATTGTGTATGTTAAGGAGTAGTATTGTAATACCCCTTTCAGTTTTTCTTTTTTCTGCTGTCTGTGTCCCATCTAGGAGATTATTTCCTGTCCCACAGACACACAGGAATAAGGCCTCATGCACACTGCAGCTCAAAGAAGCTGCTCCTACAGCCATATGAGCTGCTTTGAGCTTTTTTTTTTCTTTGTTTGTTAATTCCCTCCATGTAAAGCCTATGTGTCCATGCATACTGTAGGCGGTTTCAGGAGTTTAGTGGTAGGGGAGTTTACAGGCAAAAAAAAAAAAAAACATCACTTGTGTGTTCAGGAGAGGAGCTTTTGAGCTTAAAAAAATGCTCAAAAGTGAAAAAGCATTCATAACTGTGCATAAACGCACATTAGCGCATGTTAATGCATTCTAATGACCAGAATTCTGGCCAATAGAATGCATTAACACCAGATGCTGGAAGGCACATTAACATGCATGAATGCACATTAACGCACATGCTAGAACACATCTTTTTACTGCGTTTTTGATTCTGAAAACTCCTACAGCTCAAAAAATGTTTTTGAGCTTCTCAGTGTGCATAAGTCCTCATACACACTGGATGTTTTTACAGCTGCTGTTTTTGGCTTTTGGTGTTTTTGTCTGCAGCCAGTAAACTCCACAGCATGTTATCCTATGTGTCCACGCACACATAGACTGTAATCAGCAGTTTTGGGCTGAAAAAAACCCCAAAACGAGTTGGTTTCTAGAGGATTTTTTAGCTGTAAAAATGTTTATTTTTTAGCAAAAAAAAAAAAAAAATATTTTTTTTCATAAAAAATGGCTAAAAACCACAAATGCGTAACATGCAACTAAACACTAATGCAAAAATGCTAAAAACCGCTGAGAAACTCATGTTTTTATAGGGACTTTACACAGCTAATGTTACCAGCGTTATTAAAACGTCCAGTGTGCATGGAGCCTACCTGTTGTAAACTGTATTGGAAAACTTCTGCACTGGTTATAAAAAACAGATATTACGTAACATTTAGTACACCAAATTAAATCAAACCAGTGCAGTAAAACTTGAAGAGCGTAATTTGAATGCCATGAACCTTATCTTTACAAAATTCCAAGTCTTACTTCAGAGACCACATTAGGAACTCCCTAAGGAAAACAAGACAGGCTTTTTATAAGCAACACATGTAGCTACCTCTCCTGGATGAAGCATCTGCCAAATCCGCAGACCATGCCTTCAGGGGCCGTCTACAAAATCATCAACTGCTCGTGGGGGCTCAATAAAACCAGCAAATGCTGACATACAAAATTAAACGCTTCAACTTTATGAAGTTTAAAGCCCTTTAATGTAATTTCTTATATACTGTAAGTAACCCTAATAGAACATTAGTTTAACTGAACTTAGGAAATATTGCTATTATAAAGTACAAAAAAAGTCTGAATAGATGATGTAAGCCAGGGGCCGATGTCGTATCTGTCATCTCTCCTGGCTGAACACCCCCCTTCTCTGCATTCCCATTTCTTCTTTCATCAGTGCTGTGTTTTATTCTGCATGTGGCTGCCAGTGAAAGTACAGACTATTAGTGTGTAAACTTTAAATTCCATACATAGAAAAGTAGTAGACCTTTAATTGTTAAGGAAACCTGAGACTGTCGGCTACTTGATTGTAGCTGTTAGGATTCAGTTATCTAACAACATAAATTAAGCTGACCATAGATGGTTCAAATCTCGGCCGATTCAGCAGGGACTGGCGGAGATTCAATCCATCTATGGGCTAGCTGACTGTACTCAAATCAATCCATTGATCGACTTGGCTACCTACAATAAGCATGTTGGATTTCTAGCATGCAATTTATTGCCAGCGGCTACGGCTGTGGAATCACATAGCTCTGTGGGAGGGATTCAGTCACTGTTGATGGGGGAATCAAGTGTATTTCTTTCCTGCAACTATGGGTCTATGGCAGTGTTTCTCAACTCCAGTCCTCATGGACCCCCAAAACAGGTCATGTTTTCAGGATTTCCCTCAGATGAAACAGCTGTGGTAATTACTAAGGCAGTGAACCTGATCAAATCACCTGTGCAAAATAATGGAAATCCTGAAAACATGACCTGTTGGGGGTCCATGAGGACTGGAATTGAGAAACACTGGTCTATGGTCTACTTTACTCACACTACCTATACCTGTACTTAGGGTATATAGAGGCTATAACTGCTAACCTGTTAATCTTAAAAAGCTAGATGTATGCAGATCAAGAGTTCTGACTTCACCATTACTTTTTAATTTGCCTACTAGTTCTAGGTCTGTGTCTTAAAAAGTACTGATGTGTGGGCGTGGATTTCTCAATATGAGTATGTTTGGTTCACTTACTTTTTTTTCGTTCACTCAGTTTTATTGAACTGCATGACCCCTTTGTCTTGGGGGTCCCCTATTTTTGTGACGAGCAGACAAATCCAAGCCGTTGGGTTAAACCTGGGGCACCTTTTGCTGGGTAAAGATCTGAGTCCTGCCCCTCAGCTCCACCTCCTCTTGGAAAGTACTAAAGCCAGGAAACTAGTTTTCTTAAAAGGAAGCTAGCAGCCCCCTTATTTCTCTCACTGAAGGTTTTCTTTCAATGAAACCTATGATAAACTTAATGGGTTGCTACTGTTGAACCCTCCTTATAAAAATGCTATCTATCTTACTGTTGTGGTGATCCTTTTGGTTTCAATGTGTCTTGAGTTACCAGAGCTGTAAAACAGGTCAAGAGTTCTAACTTCACTTGCTGTATACTTGTTGTGGATCAGTCACCCAGACCACTTTGAAACAAGTGGACCAACAAGTGAACCAGACAACTTGTTTTCTTAGAAAGAAAGACCAGCAATGTCAGCCTATATATTTCTCTCAGTGCAGGTTTCCTTTAAAAACAACTGATTTTGTGTGTTCAGGGGTGTGACATTGATTCTCCTGAATATTCCTCCCCTGCAGCACCAGCTAGCCTTCTGCATTAATTACTTAGTTACCTATTTTCATAGTGCTGTAAATGTTTTATGATCAGAGAATTCATAAAGAAAGGCAGGAGCCAGAACAACTATGAGGTTCAGATAAGTAACCAAGGAGAACATAACCAAACAAGAGTGCTTTATTCATATAAGGGAAGGGAAGACATCAAAAATATTTTTGTACATTATCTCCCTCTTGCATGAAAGCGACAAATCTTCTGGCTCAGACTTCAGAGGGTGTCTGCTGATAACAGACAAGAATGAAGTGTTGTACATCACGTCACTTATGTTGATGCTTTGTACTACTTGTCCCTTTGCTGTTGTAATGATGCTACGTTTCTGGGCACAGCCAAAAGATTGCAGGAACATAAATCTATTTAATGCATATGCACATAATTTGAAGCTGTAATGCCTCCCCCTCATCTACACCATCACCCATTTATTCAAACATTTTGTCTCACACAGATGGAAGACGACTATTCTGTTGTGACACCTCTAAAACGGTTTATATTTTTTCACTGAATACAAGATCTTCTGTGAATGGATGAAAGAGTGGAATGAGTAAACCACAATGTCTTGTCATTTCACAAAAAAAATTGTATCTGATGGAAAAAAAAAAGAATAAAAGTTTTGTGAATGGACAAGGTAGAGTGTGAGCAACCCAATGTCAGAAGCTCACAGAAGACTTTAGTATCCAGTAGAATAAAATTAACATTACATTACACGTTTATTGATTCTGTGTAATGTAGCACACATATTTTAAAAGATTTACTGCTAACAGCTTGATCCATAAAATCCTCCCTCTTTTAAATTCTGTCCATCCATAGCCAGCTTTAGACTTTTCTAAATAAAAGGATACTTTTCTTGATAAATGTGTTCTTGTTTTTAAGAGGACATTTCACAAATACACTACACTGCACTGGTGAAATAGTCCTGATCTTTAACCACTTGCGTACAGGGCACTTATACCCCCTTCCTGCCCAGGCCAATTTCCAGCTTTCAGCGCTGTCACACTTTGAATGAAAATTGCGTGGTCATGCAACACTGTACCCATATGAAATTTTTATCATTTTTTTGTCACAGATAGAGCTTTATTTTGGTGATATTTAATCACCTCTGGGTTTTTTATTTTTTCTTAAACAAACCAAAAACTATTGAAAATTTTGAAAAAAAACAAACGTTTTTTCTTAGTTTTTGTTATAAAATTTTGTAAATAAGTGATTTTTCTCCTTCACTGATATGCGTTAATGAGGCTGCAGTGATGGACACTGATAGGTGGCACTGATGAGGAGGCACTGGTAGGTGGCACTGATGGGAATTGACAGGCATCACTGATGAGCACTGAAAGGCAGCACTGATAGATGGCACTGATAGATGGCACTGATAGATGGCACTGATAGGCAGCACTGACTGGCACTGATAGGCGGTACTGACCGGCACTGATAGGAGGCCCTGATGCGCACTGATAGGCGGCGCTGATGCGCACTGATAGGCGGCACTGATCGGCAGCACTGATAGGTGGCACTGATTGGCATTGATAGGTGGCACTGACTGGCACTGATGGGTGACACTGAAAGGCAGTTCAGATGGGCACTGATATGTGGCATTGATGTGCACTGGTGGGCACTGATATGTGGCACTGATGGGCACTGGCATGAGGCACTGATGAGCACTGACAAGGGCACTGATGGACACTGACAGGTGGCGCTGCTGGGACTACACTGATCATCAGGGCACACTGATCTTCAGTGCCCTGATGATCAGTGTACATGTCCCCTCCGCGGAAAGCCGATTACCAGCTCTCCTCTCCTCTCGAGCTGTCAGTGTGACAGCTCGAGAGGAGAGAAATGCTGATAACCGGCAGTTCCCTGTTTACATGTGATCAGCTGTAATTGGACACAGCTGATCACATGACAGAGCCGACATCTTCGGCTCTTTCCGTGATCAGTGATCCGCTGTGTCCGAGGGACACAGCGCGCTGCCGATCGCCGCGCTGAGCGCTCCCTGAGCCACACATGCGCGGTGAGAATGGGAGGACATCATATGACGTCCTCCCAGAACGAGAGAACCACCTTGCGTCCGTCATATTACTATATGGCGGGCGGGAGGTGGTTAAATAAGCCCCCGCAGAATTTTGCAGTTGAAGCCACTGTGGAGCAACTCATCTTCAAATCAAACTAGTGAAGTTAAGGTTGACGTTAAGTCTCATCCCGATGCTCTCCCTCCTCCTCCTGTGCATCTACTTTGTATATTTATATATATATATATATATATATATATATATATATATATATATATATTAGGTTAGGTTAATAGGCTTGTAACTCACTGCTAGAAGGGGGAGCTGAGCAAAGGAGAAAAGGCCCATTTTGTGAAGAGCTGTTTCAGGCAGCCTACAGTACAGAGGTTAAATATAGACACGGTGACTGTACAAACTCACCAGCACAGGTCATGCGGATATGGGTACACTGCTGTCAAACTTCAAACTGAGCTGTGCAGGTGAGTCCAAACAGCTGCCATGTCTTCTTTCACTTCCTTTCACTAGTCCAAAAAGATAAATAATGGCTCTTCTTTCTGTATGGGGTCTGTGCACCTGTGTGAATGAGCCCTAAATGTGCTAATAAAAAATGAGGATGAATTACAGTACTTCACTGGGGCTGCAGCTACAGAGGTCAGTGAGAGCTTGTTTGAAAGTTTGTTTACTGCTTTTCAAGAAGATGTAATTGTTTGGCTATTAAAATCCAGTTTATATAGTTTTTATATAATTTTTATTAAAAAATAGTATACATTTGATTTTTTAAAAACTGGCACTTGGTAATATGGCTATAAATCAGTGTTCAGTTGATTGTAACATAAATATAAGTTGCAAAACATTCTAAGACTAAAACAATACTAAAATTGACTACAGTTGGTAAAATGGTTATCATACTTTCTGGATGAATCGCCGGCCTTATTTTAACTACAGGTTTACACTATATGATTTCGGTGGGTTCCTGTGTCCACTTAAAGGGAGAGATCCATCCAACCAGGGATCATCCGGGGATATTGATTGCTCTATGACTCCTTGAGGGTCAATTTTTTAAGGTGAGTGCACACAATAGAAGGTGATGGATAAAAGTGGCACCATAAATATAAGCATGAAACAAAATGTGGGAATATAAAAGTTGAAGAATTGAAAAATCTGGATTTTGATATTATATTTTTTTTGTGCTATAATTTTGTTTTCCACTTCTGGGGCTAATTTCTTCACTTCTTGGGACTTTTTTTAATTTATTTATATCAATTGATATATGTCACGGTTTTATAATTGGTCACTTTGATTTTATATTTACTTTGGAATGTATTTCACTTTTAATTAAGGTAATAAGGATACACAAGCTTTATTAATATTCTTTCACTTTAATATTATTTATATTATGATTTGACAATATGGTATTTTAGTATTTACAGCGCTACACCATTTGTTCAAAATACAGTGATCAGTGCAAAAAGCACTGACCCTGTACTAATGACACTGGGCAGGAAGGGGTTAACATCTGGGGCGATCAAAGGGTTAACTCTGTGCTGTTTTACTAAGTGTGCTGTGTGTGTTTTACTAGGGAAACAAGCTGCTTTGTATTGCTCTTCTGTACAGAGCAATACAAAGTAGCCTGTTAAGGCTGACAGGGGAGAGATCTGTGTAGTTTACATACAGACCTCTCCCCTTTCACTGTTCCTCGTCGATGGCTGGGTTTCGGTGGGGAATCTCCATCTGGGACATGGTGATCGACAGCTGTAGTATTCTGCTATAGGGCGGCCGGGAATGGGGTTAAAGAATTATTATCTGAAACCTGTATGCAGTTATTACACATCACAGGTATTCACAGATAATTTTTTTCTGTTATTATTACTATTATTATTATTGCTATTATTAATGTTTTATTTATTAGTTACATAGTCTGGCTGAAAAAGGACAACAGTCCATCGAGTTCAACCATTAAAAAAAAAAAAGTTATAATCCTACACCGACACTTGATCCAGAGGAAGGAAAAAAAAACAGCAAAGCATGATCCAATGTGCTCCTGCAGTGGAAAAAAATCCTTCCTGATCCCCTGAAAGGCAATCAGATATTCCCTGGATCAACTTTACCTATAAATGTTGTGTCCAGTTATATTCTGTGTATCCAAGAAAGAATCCAGGCCTTTTTTAAAGCAATCCACAGAGCTGACCAGAACAAACTCTTGAGGGAGTCTATTCCACATTTTTACAGCTCTTACTGTGAAGAAACCTTTCTGTGTTTGGAGATTAAATTTCTTTTCCTCCAGATATGAAGAGTGCCGCCTTGTCCTCTGTGATGACCTCAGGGTGAATAGCTCTACACCGAGTTCATTATATGAACAACTGATGTATTTATACATGTTGATCATATCCCCCCTTAATCTCCTCTTCTCAAGAGAGAATAAATTCAGTTCCTCTAATCTTTCCTCATAGCTGAGCTCCTCCATGCCTCTTATCAGTATGGTTGCCCTTCTCTGTACTTTCTCCAGTTCCCCAATGTTCTTTTTGTGAATTGATGCCCAAAACTGAACTGCATATTCCAGATGAGGTTTTACTAATGATTTGTACAGCGGTAATATGATATCTCTCTCTCTGGAGTCTATACCTCTTTTAATACAAGAGAGGATTGTGATCGCTTTAGAAACCACAGCTTGGCATTGCATGCCATTATTAAGCTTGTGATTTACCAGAACTCCCAGATCCTTCTCCACCATTGATTCCCCCAGTTGTAACCTTACATTTATCTACATTAAACCTCATTTGCCACATAGTTGCCCAATTAACAGTGCATTGAGGTCGGCTTGTAAGTTGTAGACATCCTGAAAGGACATTATTCCACTACACAGCTTGGTGTCATCTGCAAAGACTGAAATGGTATTTTTAATCCCACCCTCTAATGTTTATAAATATATTAAAAAGTAAGGGTTCCAACACTGAACCCTGGGGTACACCACTAACAACCCTAGACCATTCAGAGTATGAATCATTAACCACTACTCTCTGAAACACTTTTGCAAAATCTAACTATACCACATCCACAGCCGCCTCTCTGTCCAAGGTTTTGCTCACCTCCTCATAAAAAGAAATCAGATTTGTTTGACAACTTCTGTCTTTCATGAATCCATGCTGTCTGTTGCTTAAAATATTTTTTTCCAGCAAGAACTCATCTCTGTGGTCTTTTATTAAACTCTCCAATATCTTCCCAACTATAGAAGTTAAACTAACAGGTCTATAATTACTTCTACTTTCTAATAATTGGCACCACATTGGCCTTACGCCAATCCAGTGGTACTATGCTAGTCATTAAAGAGTCCCGAAAAATTAGAAACAATGGCTTTGAATTGACAGAGCTCAATTCTTTAACCACTTCCAGTCCGGACACTTTTACCCCCCTTCCTGTCCAGGCCAATTTTCAGCTTTCAGTGCTATCACACTTTAAATGACAATTGCGTGTTCATGCAATACTATACCCATATGAATTTTTTAGCATTTTTTTTGAGACAGATAAAGCTTTATTTTGGTGGTATTTATTCACCACTGGGATTTTTTTTGCTATGTAAATGAAAAAGTCCAAAAATTTTGAAAAAAAAAGTGTTTTTCTTATAAAATTTTGCAAATAAATAATATTTTATCATACATCTTGGCCAAAATTTATTGCGTTATCTTTTTAGTAAAAAAAATAAATAAATAATAACCCAAATTAGTTTATAACCAACAATTATAATTTTTAAACTTTTTTTTTTACATTTTTATTTTATTTTTTTTATATTACTATTTTTTTTGCATACTGTCACCCTAGCAGCACAGTGCTACCATGGTCACACTGTACTACTTGTGGGGGGTGATGAAGATTTTTTTTTTTTACACTGATTGCTTTTACACCTATAAAAGCTGTAAAAGCAATCATTTCTCCTTCTCTATGGCAGCATTCTTGCAGCCATTGAGAACTACTGTTTGAGCTGTGATCGGTCACAGCTTGTCACATGGTACAAGGCTGTTGTGAATAGCCTTGTACCATGTGACCTCTGTGATCATTCACAAATTTCCCACGTAGTTAGCAATGATGTCAGAAGTGACATCTTGCTTACTACTCTGCATGTGATCACTGATTGGCCAATCAGTGATCACATGATCGGGACCTCGCACAGAAGTCCCGTCCGATGATCGGTGCTCCACTGTGTCCCAGGGAGCGCGCACAAGCAGGGGCCGGGAGGCTGTTTATAAACAGCCACCCGACCCTGCACTGCCAAAGTCCAGCCGTTTATATACAACGGCCGGACAATCAGTGGTTAAGGATCCGTGGGTGTATGCCATTCAGTCCAGGTGCTTTATTCACCGTTATTCTGTCTAAATATTTTTGGATCATAACAATTGTGAGCCAATGTGGGTCATCTGGAACTGTGTCAATACCAGGCCCATTATGGACAAGAGCTCCCTCATGCTCCTTTGTATACACAGAGCTGAAGAAGGTATTAAATAAATTTGCCTTCTCTTTGCCCCCAGTCACCCACTCTAGATTATTTTGTATAGAGCCTACATGCTCGGACCGGACCATTTACTATTAATATATTTGAAGAATTTTTTGGGGTTGGCCCTGCTATCTTTTGCAATCTGTCGTTCGTTTCAATTTTTGTGGCCTTTATTTCCTTTTTGCATATTTTGTTATATTCTTTGTAATGTTCAAACAGTGATAGCGTTCCTTCATTTTTATATTTAATAAAAGCTATTTTCTTATTATCTATTCTTATTAGCTTTTTTAACTCTGGCTGTAAGCCACATAGGTTTGATTTTTAGCCTTTTAAACTTGTTGCCCATGGGAATATATTTTGCAGTGTGTTCACATTCAGTCTTTTTGAAGAACTCCCATTACTGTGTTGTGTTCATTGATGCCAATATTCCCTCCCAGTCTAAGTCTTGGAGAGCAGCTCTCAGCTTTGGAAAATTATCTCTCTTAAAATTGAGAGTTTTTATTTTTCCCGTATGTGCTTGCTATTTACAGCTAACAATAAATGAAATCATGGTATGGTCACTGCTACCCAGATGTTCTTTTACATGGACATTCGTAATAAGCTCTGCATGGTTTGAGATTACCGTATTTTTCGCCGTATAAGACGCACCTGACCATAAGACGCACCTAGGTTTTAGAGGCAGAAAACAGGAAAAAAAATATTCTGAACTAATGGACTGCAGACACAGTACAGGAGATGACCAGAGACTGCGGACAGCACAGGGATGACCAGAGACTGCGGACAGCACAGGGATGACCAGAGACTGCGGACAGCACAGGGATGACCAGAGACTGCGGACAGCACAGGGATGACCAGAGACTGCGGACAGCACAAGGATGACCAGAGACTGCGGACAGCACAGGGATGACCAGAGACTGCGGACAGTACAGATGACTGCTGACCTTTGGGGAAGTGGGGAGCGGGTACCTGAATTTGACAGGTACCCGCTCCTACTTCCGCAGAGTTTTTGTTTGATCTTACCTGTTCCTCGATCCAGCCGCGCGCTGTCTTCCCGGCTTCTGTAATGGCGCTCGGCATGACAGCCGGGTGCCCAGTGCGCATGAGCGAGAAGCACTTGCGCTTTCTGATTGGTCCGGCAGCTTCTGGGATCTGTCATGTGTCCCAGGTACCGCCTTACCATTCACAAAGCGCACCGCTTCTCGTGCATGCGCACTGGGCACCCAGCTGTCATGCCCAGTGCCCACACTACAGAAGCCGGGAAGACAGCACGCCGCTGGATAGAGGAACAGGTAAGGTCCCGCTGCAGAGCTGAGCGGCCGGCCCGGTATTCTGACACGGCCGCGGTGGAAATACCGGACCGGCCGCTCCATATTCACCTTATAAGATGCACTGACATTTCCCCCCCCAGTTTTGGGGAAGAAAAAGTGTGTCTTATACGGCGAAAAATACGGTACCAGATCCAGCAGATCATCAGTCCTAGTTGTGGCCTCTATGAACTGTACCATAAAACTGTCCTGTAGTAGGTTTAAACATTTTTGCCCTTTAACTGTTCCTGCAGTACTTATATAGCACAATAAAATTACGCAGCACTTTATATATATATTTATACAGCGGGAAAAATAAGTATTGAACATGTCACCATTTTTCTCGGTAAATATATTTCTAAAGTTGCTAAAGACATGAAAATGTCACCACATGTCGGTAACAACCCATGCAATCCATACATACAAAGAAACCAAAACAAATAAGTTCAGAAATTATGTTGCATACATTGCATGGGTTGTTACTGACATGTGGTGAAAGTTTCATGTCAATAGCTCCTTTACAAATATATTTACTGAGAAAAATGGTGACGTGTTCAATACCTATTTTACCAGCTGTATATTAAGTGTATATACAGTACATTCACATCAGTCCCTGCCCACAAGGAGCTCGCAATTTCAGGGTACCTAAGAGTTGATTCACACACGGACACGGATTCCTACAAGGACACATTCAAATGTGACACGTAAATGTAGCCCGTCATTATATACTGACTGCTAACACACAAAGACGGATAACAAAACATACACAACCATTTTTTTTAGCAATGCAGTACACCCAAACACATGGTATATACACTGTGGTACGCTGTGGTGCATTGTGTATTGGGCTCTACTAATATATTGTGTTGACATGCAATTCCAAATGAATTGCACTGAGCATATAGCAAGTGTGCTGCCATGCAATATGGTAGGATTGAAATCATGTAAATAAAATATAACCAATGTAAGCATCCCTGTTAGTGTTAAATCTTTTGCAATAGTGGCCCTATTATGTACTGACCCATGCCAAAAAACATGGCTGAGTTTATTATATTTAAAAATTGCTGAGTCTGTTGAAATTCATTTCAAAGCAACAGTTTTCATGACCCATGCAAGATTAATTTACAGCCTACAAGCCACAACTGTGCATCTTTGGATACCTTCTATACATCTGCATACATGCATTCCTTCACTGGTATTCAGACTTTGTGTCTGTTGGCTCCTAGGTTTTATATATTTTTCTTCCACACTCATTGGTATCAGAATGTTGAGTGAGTGCCAACAATATACAATTTAGAAACATCTGCTTTATTTTTATTCCCACAAAATATACAGCAGTTGCTAGTTTTGCTCCTAAAATGTAATTCATGCGGAAGAAGATACTGAAACAGAGCCTGACATCTCACACCTGCTCTCAGGATACTGTGCAATGCTTTTCAGGTTGTTTCTTAGGAACAACAAACATCCAAGCCAGAACTTTTGCAGCATATACTCTGCAAGCACCACATGAAAACTCCAAACCTAGCCATACACATAACGATTTAACTTGCTCAGCCCAGCAGGCAAAAAAGCAGGGATGAAGCAGGGGCGGACTGACCATTTGGAAACTCGGGCACTACCCGAGGAAACGGCCCAGGTTCAGTAGGGGGCCCCATGAGATGCCCCTGGTACCTTTTTCATAGGCTTTTTTGAGTTTGGGCAAGGACACAGGGGCCCCATGATCCCCTATTGCCCGGGGGCCCCATGAGTTGTCAATCTACCCCTGGGATGAAGAAACCTCCTGTTGTTAGCTGTTGTATTCTGATATCCGCACTGATTGGATGCAGTCACTTTTATCTGCAATGCGCCTTTGATTGTTGGCATTTGTCAATTGTTTATCCTCTGTACTGTAAGGACTTGCTGGGTCCCACAACAGCTCTAGGTTAGATGCTGTCATGACTACATTTACAGTGTCAAATCTGTATTTGCAAAGGTATTTTGTGCCTCCATAGTATAGTTAGAGCCTTTGTGGCTATTCAGAAGTATATTTAAATTAAAGTTTTGTACCCAGAGTTAGGCTATAATAACCTTTTTTGTTTTCAATATCTGTGGTCATAGAGTGGTCACTGTGCAGTTACAAATTTTTACAAATTCAATTATATAAAATGCTAGTTCATGCACTGGAGATATTACAGACTGGAAGCCAGAGTTCTGTATAACAATATGTTTCCTGTTAAAGTTTTTTCTACAAAAAAAAGTACAAACGTATATTCACAAAACATTTTTTTTTAAATGTGTATTTTGTCTACAATTTTACCCAAATCCCTTAAAGCTGAACATAATCCCTAATAGCCAGAGATATCAATCAACTTTGTACACATCAAATGCTATTGCAAACCCAGTAGTTATTTTGTAAAAGTAGCAGTGACATCATCACTGTGCTGTGCATAAGGAGTTATTTACTAAAACTGGAGAGTGCAAAATCTGGTGCAATAGTACATAGAATCCAATCAGATCCATGGTTTATTGTCAAAGCGTAATTGAAAAATCTGATGTTAGAAGCTGATTGGCTACCATGCACAGCTGCACCAAATTCTGAGTGCTCCAGTTCTAGCAAATCTCCCCCTATGTCTTTGAAGAGTGCAGAGCTACGGATGGGGACCAGCAGGTCCACCCACTACAGGCTGCCTGCACAAAAAACTACAGAAGGGGTCAGATACAAGACCAGTCAGCCCCAACCCTATCCCCTTCAATACATTTCGCTGTGTCCAACCTTATCACCACACAAGTCTGTACCTACCTCCTCAAACAGATACAGCCTCCCGCCCTGCTTGTAGCCTAGCTAAAATTGTAGTACCAGACTGGCTGCATAGTCAATATGGGTATACCCCTTCAAGCCTATGGAACTCTAGTACGAAATGGGAATTTTTTACGTTTCACATCCTTTTGACATCAGAAGACATACAAAACAAAATCATTCCTGGAAGAATACATTCTTGGAAAAAATATTGAAAGACATAAGAATGCCTTCTTGAAGCAGAAAAACATTAAATGTACAGTTTTAATTTGGTAACAGAATTTTATGTCAAATTAACAGGCTCATAGCTGAAATACAAAATGTACTCATGTCCATATCAGGGTAAAAACCACTATAGCAGAAATAATGAAAGGGCATGTATAATTTGTTTCAAGGTTTTCTATAGATAGATATATGTAAAAGTCATCAGCTTGGCTTTACAATGCTACACAGGCATTGAAAACCACATGGAGGATCAGAGGCTGCAGCTCTTGAAAGGGGAGA